AGCAGGGAGCCCGATGTGGGACTCGATCCCAGGACCCTGGGATCATGACCTGAGCTGAAGGCAGACGCTTAACGACTGAGCCACCCAGGTACCCAATAAATAAAAATCTTTAAAAAAAATAGTCATTGTTGCTTTAGAATGGGACTTGGGGTGCTGATATTGAAAGTGGATTCAAGAAGTGATTCATCTGGGGCACTTGGGTTAAGCCCCACTCTGGGCATGGAGCCTGCTTAAGATTTTCTCTCCCCTTCTCCCTCTGCCTCCCCACCCCCCACTTGCATGTACTCTCTTATAAAAACATAAAGGTGACTCAGGAAGGCTGGACATGAAGGACTCTGCGGTTGCTCTGAGGTGGTGTGCTATGTTGCTGCTGGCAGTCTACTGCAATTTTTTATGATTAAAACTCATGACGAGTAGTAACGATGTTATTGAGCGTCGCCGTATACGAGATACTGGGCTAGGTCTAGCTTCCCCTGCCGTTCTTGGTTTCTTTACAGTGACCCTGTGGTAGGTGTCACTCTCCCAGTTCACACACGCTCTCTTCCTCCTGTCACAGCTGGAAGTGACACATTGCTCTTCTTCGGTGTTGAATTGGGTTAAGAGGAAATTTTACCCCTGTAACTTTTGTGAAAGCAGAGCCGTACTTAAAATTCCTGATCTGATGAGTCATTGAGCAGTTCTTACTTGAGCACTTACGATGGGCTAGGCACTGTAGGTGCCCTATCCTACTATGTGGTGGTTGGTCTCGTAAAGTGTACTATTAAACGGAGTGTAGTAGAGGAATATTAAATACTTAAGTGTGTCTAATCATTCAACCTTGCGAAGTAGATATTGTTACGCCCTGGTTCTGGAAGAGAAGCCTAGGCTAGGAGAGGATTAAGAAGAACGTGCTTTCTAACCCAAACAAATTCACATCTGGGTCTTTGCAAATCCAGAGTGGGTTTGCCTTCCACTGGACCCTGCTGCCTCCGGGCAGGGAGGTCTTGCCGGAGCAGGGACACACTGGTGGCTGATCTGCCTCACCACCCCCTCGTCGCTCCTCCCCCTGCTCCCTGTCCTTCGCCTCTCTTGGGAAGGAGCAGCTGGCAGGTGCGCACAGATCTGAGCCGTGCTTGGTCACGGGGAGAATTGAGACCGGTTGAAAGTGGAGTCGGTCTGAGGTGAAACCCTTGTCACTGCGGGGGGCGGACGTCCAGGGCGCAGAGTGGGCAGAGGTGGCTCAGGTGCTTCGTGTGGATGAGGCATCCGAGAGGGTGTTGGCTTTTGGGGATGACTCCATCTTCACACCACACTGAGGATTTGTCCCCCAGAAACAGCTCACTAATACCACTTCTCTATATTCTAGGCTTTGGATGTGGACCGGATGGTTCTTTACAAAATGAAGAAATCCGTGAAAGCAATAAATATCTCTGGGCTGGGTGAGTATGCATTCTTTCCTAGGGGTTTCTTGGTGTAAATCCTTGCATTAGCAGAAACTGATGCTGTAATAGTGGTCACCGTTAATGAATAATCCACCAAACCTTTTTTTCTAGGCATGCAAATTGTAAAGTTGAGCTGGGATGTTTAGTTTTTAGAAGTGTGTTTTGTTTTGTCAAGTCTCTAATTCTGGAATGGCACTTCATCTGCCGCCCCCAACCCCCACCCTCCCACTATCCCATGCGCTGCTTCCTGTTCTCTGAAGTGCAGCTGAGTTTCCCACCACACCAGCTTTGTCTGACTGAACGACAAGGACACCGGCCTCATTCCTGCCTCTGCTGTTTGGTTTGTGTGTTAATCATGTCAGAATGGCTCTTCCGTTTCTCTCATCCGATGCTTGCCTTTCTTGTTTGGGATGACAATTAACATAAAAGCACAATCAACTATTCAAAGTAATATCTGATCTAGACTAATAAACCTTTTTCTGACTTAAAGATTTCAGGCTGCACACATGTGGCAGGTCTGCCCCCTGCTCAAAACCTTACCGGTGATAGAAAATAATTTTTTTTTTTTAAGTCATGAAGTGACTCTGTCATTTCTCTCAGAAGCAAGCCAGTGGCAGGCTTGGAGGGCTAGAAGTTGTGAGAGCTCCCAGAGACCGTGGAAACAGGTGGTGGACTGCAGAGAGCAAGGCTGGCTCGTGGGAGGGCACACCGCTGCCGAGTATGGCAGAGACACTCCCTTTGCCCGTGGCTGGTGGCCAGGAGGAGGAGGGGGCCCAGGCTCTGTGCCTACAGACGCAGTCAGGCCACCAGATCACCCTTGTGATGTTCCCTTTGATGATAGTAGCAACTGGAGTAGAAGGACAGGGAATGGCACAGGTGGTTAAAAGGAGGGAGGGGCAGGGAAGGGTCTGGAAGTACCTGTTGTGCCCAACCCCGCCCCCACCGTAGTTCTTCTGTTGTGAGCGGCAGCTCCAGTAACTGTGTTTGCCTCCCCCAGGGAGGGCTGTGCCAGCCAAGACTGTGAAGAGGCCGGTAGGACATCTCAGCTACAAAGATGGTATTACAGTCAAGAATGGCTAGTATATTTAGGAACAGATTTAACAAAAGATAGGCAAGAACTCTATGTTGAAACCTATAAAACACCACTGACAGAATTAAAGACCTAAATAAATGGAGAGGTATATGATGTATGTGGGTTGGAAGACTCGATATAGTCACGATGTCTGTTCTCCCCAAATTGATCTCAAGATGCACCACAGTCCTAATCAGAATTCTGGCAGGAGAAATTGACAAACTGATTGCAAAACTTATATGGAAACGCACGGGACCTGGAATATCCCAAGCAATCTTGGGACAGAAACAAGTTGGGAGAACTTAAACCATCTGACTTCAAGTCTTGTGAGCCAGTAATGGTCTACACTGTGTTGCTAGCTGGGGGGGCCAACAAAGAGGTGACTGGAACAAAAGACAGTCTAGAAATAGACCCTCACTGAGAGGTGTCTTGTCAGCACAGTTGCCGAGGCAGTCCCACGGGGAGACGAGGGTGTTTCTAGCACATGATACCGGAACAGCTGGATCTTTCCATCAGAACAAAGGAAGTACAGCCCTCTCACCCACCCTACACAAACAGTACTTTGAAATGGCTCATAGATTCAAATTTAAAAACTGAAACTATAAAGCTTCTTGAAGAACACATAGGAGAACATCTTTACAACACGGGGCAGGCAAGGCTCCTTGAAAAGACACAGAAGGCAATAGCGTAAAAGAAAAATGGTTAAATCAGACTTCATCAAAATGAGACACTTCTACGTGCTCAAAAATGCTATTAAGACTAGCCTAACATTGTATGGGCCTCCAATCAAGAAAGTAAAGAGCTTACACTTGAGGAAACTAAATTAATAGGGCAGTCAGAACAGGACTCTAAAATAAGAGCATATGTATGATTAACATCCTTAAAAAGGCAAGAGAGGTATTTAATTACTGGGATCAGAAAAGGTACTAGTGAAAAAGAACCAGTAAAAGGTGTGAAAATAGAAAAATATCTCATTGTTGAAATAAAAACTAAAATTTGCTAAATGGCAGGCTACACACATAGGAGAGGGGATTCGTGAGGCCCCTTGTTGCCAGAACGTGAGTTAAAGGAATGGACAGTGTAAAGTAAAAATCAAGAGCCACAGAAAACAGATTGAGAGTGGTCAATATTAGCATCCATCCAAAAGGACTTGCAGAAGAGGGGGAAAAAATGGAAAAGGGGAAAGTTTTAAAAAAGTAATAGCTGACAAGTTCTCAGAACTAAAGAAAGATTTGCGATCTCGGGTCGAGGGACACCTGGGTGGCTCAGTCGGTTGAGCATCCGACTCTTGATTTCTGCTCAGGTCATGATCTCAGGGTCGTGGGATCAAGCCCCGTGTTGGGCTCCACGCTGGGCATGGAGCCTGCTTAAGATTCTCTCCCTTTCCCTGCCTCCCTATAAAAGATAAAATAAGATCTCAGTTTGAGAGAGTGCACTGAATTCTAAGGAAAACATTATAAACACACATGTAAATGTACATACACACAGTGTATGTGGATATGTGTACATACCTCAGGACATATCCTACTATCTTGACCTCAGGGATAAAGAGAAAATCAAAAATTTACCAAGAGGGGAATAAGCATATATATAGGAAAAAAGATTTGGGGGCAGTATGCTAAAAAATGATTGTTTTGGCATTTTGACTTTATAGGTATTTTCCCCCCTTCATTTTCCATATTTTATATATATTGTAATGTATTGATGTTAAAATGATTAGACAGGTATTAAGTTGTTTATGGTTAAATTCCAGATGAACATGAAGGAAGTTCAGGAAAGCAGAGAAGAGGTGGGAGGGACTTAAGTTGTTCGTGACTGAGCTTGTCCCGACTGAGTTCGAAAGCTTTTTGGAGTTTGTGGTGTTGGCTGTTTTACCCTGGAGCGAATCACTTAGCATGTTTTAGCTCTGGTTTCCTTGTCTCTGAAATAATCCAGTTAGGTTAGAATGCACATCAGTGGTTCTCAACCAGGGTGATTTTGCTCCCCCCAGTGTGGTTACTAACAACTGAGAGGTGCGTGCGTGCGCATGTCTGTGGGCATGTGTGCATATTTGGGCACCTCATGGGTCGAGGCCAGGGATGCTGCTAAAGATCCTACAAAGCACAGGAGAGCTCCCAACAAAGAATTAACTGGGCCCAAATGTCAATAGTGCCAAGGTTGAAACCTTCAACTAGATGTTCTTCACAGTCTTCTACAATTTTTTATTTTTTAAGACTATTTATTTGAGAGAGAGAGAGAGCAGGGGGAGAGGCAGTGGGAAAGGGAGGGAGGGACTCTCAAGCAGACTTGCCCCTCAGCATGGAACCCAGTGCAGGGATCAGTCCCATGACCCTGGGATGATGACCTGAGCTGAAACCAAGAGTCAGATGCCCAACGGACTGAGCCACCCTGGTGCCCTCAAAGTCCTCTACAGTTTTTAAAAAACAAACAAAACAAAACCAGAAACCGCCACCGTACTTAGCTTGCAAGTACATAAACATTGATTACCTGACAACTACTGATTTTATGAAAGAAGGAAGTAGAATTAGTTTTCACTGAGTAACACCTAACTGGAAGTAAACCTATGTAGGAAAGTATTTTTTATTTAAAAGGAAGTATCAAACAGTATAAAACTCTTCACTCAACACTGAGCTTTGCTGAAACAAATGTTAGACTATCCAAGAAGGTGGTCACCTGTCTCCAGCTCTTTCCTGGATAAGTAGGGAAGGGGCAGGGAGGAATAATGATTGTTTGTAGATTTTTGGACGCTTATTACAAACCTTGTGCTCTCTGTGCGTTATGCTAATCTTTATAGCCAACTGTTCTCATTTTATAAATGAGCCACCTGAGATCAGAGGGCTAAACATGTTCCCAGGCCACTCCGTGGAACTCGGCTTCCTGCTGGCCCAGGCTGTGTGCAGGGCCCGCTCCTCTTCGAGGCCACCACTCCTTCAGGCTGACTGGCGCACTGACCGACTCTCTTCAAGATTTCCAGAAATCACTCAAAGATGGATGCTTAGTTCTTTTGACAAACAATAGATTTCAGAAAGTTTCTCAAGAGTGTTTTTTTTAACCATGTTCACTTGGGCTTTGAGTTTCTGCTTTAAGGCTAGTTTAAAAGGGGGAATATTTTATATTCTGATGACGTTCAAGAGTGATTTTAAAGTCCTCTGTCGAGAAGGCTGTTCTTTTTTTTTTTAAAGATTTTATTTATTTATTTGACAGAGAAACAGCGATAGAGGGAACACAAGCAGGGGGAGTGGGAGAGGGAGAAGCAGGCTTCCTGCGGAGCAGGGAGCCCGATGCGGGGCTCGATCCCAGGACCCTGGGATCATGACCTGAGCCGAAGGCAGACGCTTAACGACTGAGCCACCCAGGCGCCCCAAGAAGGCTGTTCTGATCAGAAATAAAAATGAAGGACTGCTTCTCGTGCAGGCGTTGGCCACGTGACCGCGGCCAGTCCTGAGAAGGACCTGTGTGTCCCTGTAGGCTAGCCCAGTTCCCCGCCACGTAGCTTTAAACAAGCAAGCGTAGAGGAAGGTGTTGTAAACACATGGGTGTCAGGAAGCTAGCCTGTACAAATTTAGTAACACTTGTGTCTCATCTGCCTTTCTGACCTATATTGTTGAGTGTGTGCCACAAATCTCCTTCCTTTACCTGCCCCAGAGTCGTTTCCTAAAATACAGCCTAGTGATATTACTTCTCTGCTCAAAAGTCTGCAGCATTTTCTCATTACCCACTTTGACGTTCGTGAAGGTGAGTCCCAGAGCCTGGGAGAGATGAGGAAGGCCTGCGTGGGCTGTAGAATTGTAGGGAAATTGGGGTCAAGCACAGGTAAGCAGGTGTCTATTCCTGCAGGACTGGCTGGAGACTTCAGCTTGCCCCTGTGGAGTAGGAGAGGAGCTCTGTCTTAGCCTTCTCCAGATTTATTTGCTTATGATATTGC